TCCCTGTTGTTTGATTTTGTTGCATTTTTCGTCCCTTACATACATAAAGTTAGGGACCAAACATGCAATTTTAACCAAACTACAAGGACGAAAAATGCAACAAAATCAAACCACAAGGACGATGCGAGTGCAAAATAAAAATTAGGGACCAAATATGCAATTTTAACCAAACCACCCGGAAGATTTCAGTAATTTACTTTAATAATAATAATAATAATAATAATAATAATAATAATAATAATAATAATTCATCTTATTTCTCATCAATCCAATCTCCATAGATGCCTTTCAGCTTCTTATTTGCCAATTTTGTAAACCTTTTTGCTTTATCCTCTTATTCAGAACAGTAATCATTGATTTAGCAGGTTGTTCTTGTTCTTCCCTCCCACTTTCCATGCATTCGTCTGACATTTTTACCTCTGCAATTGGATCCAAGAACCGCAAATGAAACAGTTAATATGAGAGTGAGTGAGAGAGAGAAAGAGATAGAGAGAGAGAGAGGGAGAGAGAGAGAGAGAGAGAGAGAGCCTGAAAGCCCATGAAGAAAGCAACATTTATCTGTGTAATTGCATCGTTCCTTATATTTCCATTCCGAAGGAATCTCTACAAGTTCTTGAGGTTTTGGCTATAAATCTTTATAGTCATGAGCATACTGTCAACGATCCCCATTAAAGCATTTCCCTTGAAAAAATATTCGACACATTTCAGTCCTGTAGAATCTATTGATGGTTGAGGGGTTGATTCTTAGAAGGTTTGCATTGATTGATTCAGGGTTTCTTGAGTTCTTGTTTGAGTTTTCAGATTGGGAGTTTGAATCATATTGTTGAAGAAAGGATTTGCTTTCATCATTGTTGATACCAAGAAAAGGGTGTCGATTCATTATGAGAAATTTGGTTGAAATTCAATACGATTGTGGTATTAAGAAAGAAGTAAAGATAATGTGGGTTGATGTTAGAATTGATGAAGATAAAGAGACATGATAGAAAGAGAATGAATATTCTTCATTGCATTGATTGAAAAACTCTATGTACAATACAAGAACAAGGAAATATATACATCACAAAAACACAAAGTGTAACTAACTTAACAAACTTAATTATCCCAGATTAATGACGTGTAACACCCCCCCCCCCCCTCCTCAAGCTGGTGGATATTGGGAAAAGGTCGGTTTGGAAATTGCATCATTATGTTGCATAGATATCACATCCATAAAATTCAAGCCAATTTAAAACTTTTTCAAACATTCAAAACCAATATTTATTACAAAAATGTTTTCAAACTAGTTTCATATGAGAGTATCCCTGAAACAAAGTCATAAAAATGTGAGGAGGTGCACGATTACACATTAGCCTTCCCGTGATCATCTGAAGTACCTGAAACAAAATCCAAAAATGTAAGTCCGAAGCTTAGTGAGTTCCCTCAAAATACCAATGCTATACAAATCATAGCTATATCATAGAAAGTAAACAAACAACATGCATAATGAGCCATCAGCCTGACTGGACCGCCTCACAGGGCCATCAACCTATCTGGACCGCTCTCCGAGCCATCAGCATGTCTGGACCGCCTTGCGGGCCTTCAGCCTATCCGGACCGCTCATCAGGCCTCCAGCCTAACTAGTGTGCCCTTACTGGGTCTGCAGTCTATCCGGGCCACCTTAGGTATGTTGGCCTAGAGCACAAAGCAGAGACCGACTCAACCCATCCCCAATCAACACATAAATATCAAATGCTAGCATATACAACAATCAGACCGATCTAACAGATAACTAATCATAGCATCATCTTATATACTAGTATACTGACCTAACAGGTCGCTAACATAAGATCATCCTATATACCAGGATACCGACCTAACAGGCCACTAAGCATATCAACATGCAATAAACCCATATACAAATCTGAAAAGGGACGACATTGGTGCCTTCGACCCTGTTAGTATAGTGAGGACAACTCACCTCACAATGTCGATCAGAACTGAAATATCAAACTCCTGAAATATGGCTCCAAACACCAACACCTAGAACCACCAATGATCCATTTCTATAAATACCCAAATTACCAAAATACCCTTAGAAGTCAAACTGGTCAAACATTGGTCAAAGTCAAAGTCAATGGTCAAGGTCAATAGTCGATGTTGACCCAACTCATCGAATGCAGCTTACATACTTATCGAGTTCCTTCAGAACTCAGAAAGTCACGAAAACCCCAATCGGCTCGTCGAGTTTCCAAACAACTCGTCGAGTCCATGCAGTGTCCAATAAGTTAGGAAAACCTTAACCAACTCATCGAGTCACCTTGTTAACTCGCTGAGTTCTTGCAGAATCCAGAAAGCGGGAAACCCTCATCCAACTCGTCGAGTCAACTATGTAACTCGTCGAGTTCCTTCAATCCTTTTCTCATTCAGACGTGTCTAAGTGGAACCAAGGCTCCAAACTGTAGATCTAAACTCCTAGGGTGTAGTTTCTACATAAAGTTGCAAACTTTACGTGCATGTAAAGCCTAAAATGCCAAAACCAAGCTAAGGAAGAGGTTTTAGGGTAAGAAGAAGGCCAAAGCTTGACAAATTCAATAACTTTATGATTAAGAGGGCTTAGAAGAGTCCGAATCTGAACTCCCAACTCCAAAATGTGTTTAATACTGGAAAGTCCTTAAGATTAAGCTAGAAATGGCCTAAAACTATAAGATGAAAAGATCTATTAAGAGAATGGACATGGAAATGACTTTTTACCTTCAAGTGAAAACCAAGACCAAGTAGCTGTTGGATCTACAAGCTCCTTCACATTCCAAACTCTTGAACCTTTTAGCTTCCCCACTCAAGAGCACAACAACGACCTTCCAAGCCTTTACACACACAAGAGTGAGAGGTAACACACAAATAGGTTTTTCTGAGGCTAATGGGGGCGATAAGAGAGGCAAGGGGTGGCTAATGAGCCTTTAATAGGGTACAAAACCCTGGAACTTAGGGTTTTCATGCACAAACTCTACTCGTAGAGTTGGGGTCCTCCAACTCGTAGAGTACGTTCCATAAACCATGCGGCCATATCCGTCTCTACACGATGAGTTAGGGCAGCCAACTCGTCGAGTAGGTCTCTAATAATAAATATTAAACTTTAAAATTTATACTTGGAAGTCGGGGTGTTGCAATAAAAGGGGAGGATTTAGTAAAAATGTCTGCTAATTGGTTAGAACTGGAAATATGAGAAAGTGTAATCAATCCTCCTTGTAACTTTTCACGTACAAAGTGACAATCTAGCTCAGTATATTTGGTTCGTTTGTGGAAAACTGGGTTTTTAGCTATGTAGATTGCAGCTTGGTTATCACCCTTGAGTGGTATTAGAGTGATATTTGGGACATTCAGCTCTTGTAAGAGACTACTCATCCAAGCTAATTCCAAACAAACCCTCCTCATAGATCGATATTCAACTTCTGCTGAGCAAAGGAAGACAGTGGTTTGTTTCTTTGATTTCCAAGATACAGGAACATTGCTAAATAAGATGAAAGAACTACTAACTGAACGTCTAGTGATTGGGTAAGCAGCCCAATCTGAATCACATAAAGCTTCAATATTAAAAGTAGGATCATTGTTGAGTAATATGGCCCTGGTAATTGTCCCTTTCAAGTACATTAAAATATGAATTGCAGCATCATAATGTACTTTACTAGGAGTCTGATTAAATTAACTTAGATGCTGAACAACAAATGACAAATCAGGTTTAGTATGAAGCAAAAAATTAAGTTTTCCAAAAAGTTGTTTATAGAAGGTTGGATCTTCAAGAGGATCATCCATGTTGGGTACCAATTTTTAAAACAATAGGAAGAAGAGTATTCACAGAATCTTCATTTTCCATGTGATAATCACGAAGTAAATCAAGAACAAACTTGTGTTGATGAAGAACCATGCCATTAGGAACTTCATTAAAATCCAATCCTATGAAAAAAAATGAACCCAAGATCCTTTATGCGAAATTGAGCATCAAGAAATTCTTTCAAAAAATGAATTTCTTGCACATTATCTCCTGTGACAAGAATGTCATCAACATATACTATAATAATGTCTATGGAATTGTCCACATTCTTGAGAAATAAAGAATGGCCATTCAAAGAATGAGAAAATCCTCTAGATTTTAAGGCAATGGACAACTTTCCATATCATTGTCGAGAGGCCTATTTAAGGCCATAAAGAGACTTCCTTAATTTTCATACGTGTGATTGAGAAGGAACATGCAAACCAGGTGGTGCTCTCATAAAGACCTCTTCATGAAGATCCCTATGAAGAAATGCATTCTTAATGAAAAACTAATGAACTTTCCATCCTTTTTTAACAACAAGAGTAACAAGAATTCTCACAATGTTAAATTTCACAACTGGAGAAAACGTTTCATGGTAGTCGACGCCATATTTTTTAGTGAAACCCCCGACGATTTTTTCCAGGAAATCTCCAACGAAAGATACACACTATTCCGTCTTTTCTATATAGGGACACACCCCAAATTAGGTCCTAGTACGCCCAGTGTACTAGGTGGCTTCCGCATCACAAACATGCATATGAGTACGTTGAGCGTACACTCGTGTATGCCCCGCGTACTCATTTACCACCTTTTCTCAATAAGGGCTAAACTTGACAATTCACCTAAAGAACAAGGGCTTATAAGGAATATCTGGACTTGGGATGTTACAAATGCCAATAAAACCTTCACGCACATAAACTATCATTTGGAGTCTTTGACTAATTATTACACTCACAACCTCCAAATCTCCAATATTCTAAAATCGTAGTTGCTACCACCTCCAACATGGACATCCATCCTTTTCACAGTTCTTGCACATAGATGAGACAATCTTAACCTTCTTTCGCTTACATAGACACCCAATCCAGATGAATCACATTAAATTTGACGCCACACACATTAAATTTCACCTTCTGTAGTTTCACTGTAGCTTCTGTATTTTTAACCTTCGAGGTTTTTGAATTTGGATTTACCTGGCAGGAATTTACCTTCATTCTGAATTTTGCTTGTAATCTTTCTCCAAAGCTTTAGCAGCCAATCCTGAGATCTCTTTATCCTCATTGTTCCTCCCTTTTGTTAGTTGTCCAATTGCAGAAGTGCACTATTCACCACAAAAAGGGTATTTTGATCATTTAACAAAACAAAGAAAAAAATGAAATTGAATTGCTTCCATATTCCCTTATAGTAATAGTGAAATCCATCAAACATGAAATTTTAAAAATTCTAATAGAATTGGAATGGAATTTTGGATTCCAATTCCATTGGAATCTGCAAACTAAACACATTTTAATTAGATCATTCTTGCTACATTATGTTTTATTAAAAAATTTAGAGCTTCCCTAGATTCAAACAATAATATTGATTTTTCTTATCGAGTAGAATATGAAGTAAACATAATGAGGATGTTTTCATCTTTTACTAAAAAAGAATAAAATATGAACTTGAATTTCCTTCCACCATTCTCTAGGAATAGTGAAACCTATCTAACATGGATATTGATGAATTGGAATGGAATCTCATATTTAAATTCATGATACATTAAGTTTTCCTACAATTTTTTAGCTTCCCTAGATTTAAATAATACTTTTGATTTTGCTTACACCACATAATAATGAAGATATTTTATATTGAAAAATTCTTTTAAATGATAATAACAATATATTTATCAAAAATTGAGTAATTATTTCAAAATGAAAGAGAGCTCACCAAGTAAACACCAAAAAATGCTCTGATGTTTTTTCCGCCTGTCAATTATATTGGTGGAAGCATAATATTTCTTAGTTGTTTGAAGGTTTTCAAGTCCACCAATTATGTAAAGCACCTATTTTCAACAAAAATCCAGAACATTCAACATATTTAGAAAAGCTAAATGCAAGAAATAGCAACATATTTTCATTTGTTTGTTTACTATACTTTGAAAAATCTACAATGAAAATTGATTTGTATTTGAATGACATTGCTTTAATGTATTTAGACACAAACCTTTACTTATTTGACCTTTTTTCCTCCTAAATCCTCTCACGTTAAAACTGATGAATATTGTAACATTTGTTATTTAAGTATGAAGTTAAAATAGTCATTTACTCTCATTCGGAAAATTTATTCAGTCCATATTTTTTTTATGTATACTACAGTTTATGTTCATAATAAATACTTACATCAGCATAAGTAAGAGGATGTATAGGAATGATTGGTGGATATAAGATCAACTCCTCATAGCAGAAACATGTCTGTTTATACCTATAAAGCCACATAAGTTCTAATAAGCCACAGGGGATAATTTGTCTTTTTTTAATCCACATAGAGTGAATTACACGAATGGTCCCTATGATTTGTGATAATTTGCACGTTCAATCCCTAATGTATTTTTTTAACTCGGAAGGTCCTTACTGTTTGTTTTTGTTGCACGCTTGGGACCATTTGTGTAATTTACTCATCCACATATAAGTTAATCAGCACTCATAGTTGCAATGAAACGTATATTATAGAAAGTTCTCTCCAGGCATCGCGATATGCCATGAATTTGTGCAAAAAAAAAAATCAAGAGACATCATTGAATTTTATAGTAAATAAGAACACAAATAAATAATGTTTGTGATTTTATTCTTACAGCTCATGATATTTATTGAGCCAATCTATGGCTACTAAAATATCTCTACAGGCCTTTGCCATGGCTACCTTTCTCATACTTATAAGCTGCAAATGTTTAAGATTGTTAGAACTTAGAAAGGTTATTTGGTAATGTAAAGATCAGAGACTTATTTTTTGTTTTGAAAAGATTTATGTCAACAAACTACAGAAATAAATTTAGGTTATATTGTAAGTTTTTATTTCATTACATAATGGAATGAATAAGGAAAGGATATTGCCTTCTTGAGGGCATATTAGTCTTCAAGGAAACATACATGTTATGATAAGAGAATGTAAACTTTGAAAGCTAAATTTGCAAATGGATGACAAATTTTAGTTGGTGGAGAAACATGGTTGAAATTGATAAGAATACTTTACCATTTATTGATTTCAAACCCAGATTTCAAATAGGCATTTTATCAAACACCTGGTCCATTATTCTGTTTCTTCAAAATTCTCTAATAATCATGAACACACATAGTTGTTCATGCTTTCTCATCCCATCAAACACTACAAATATGAAACAAAATGCATGTAAATAAATGATTGTTTTTGTAGGGGAAATATTTAATTGGAAGTTCTTATTTGAGGGTGATAAAAAGATGTCGTATATGTGGTGGAATTTAAAGATAAATATAAAAAGCTGATGAGAGACAAAGCAATACGATAATCAAAAACTGGGTTCTCACGTCTTCGAATATACTTTCGTTGCTTAAAAACAACTTGATTAACTAAGATATGTAGTCAACTAATCAATTGATGATAACGATAATAAATTGAAAGATTAAGCAAATTAGATTTAATAGTTTAGAAATTGAAACACATGGAGTTGTGTATTAAAAACCTTTCAACTTTTCAAGATGGAGCGCATCTATTTTGGGAAGAAATAAGTAGAAATCACATTTCAGTAGCCACCAGGTGGAACGCCGCAATTACACACTTAGGGGACCAACAACGTCGATGATTAGCCACTTCACTTGTTCAACAACAAGCCTCTGCCCCAACCATCCCTCAACCACTATCGATTCCTTGTATGACTCACTGCGACACAAAGCATATGAACATACCAATAACATCGGAGGCAACTCCTTGAAAAAACCTCTAATTTTTTGAAAGCTGATGTCGTCAGCGCCCTGATCCAAAGAACCATATATCATTAAAAAAAACTAATATCTGCATAAAGGTTATAAATTTCAGAAGGAGGTCTTGGCGGAAGAGGCAACACAACAGAACCTCCCTAACAACAATGATTATACCTAAAATAATTAGTTTAATAATGACTTCTAACCATTTCAATATACCAGAATAGAGCTCCACAAAATTGACAAACACAGATACAATCCCCATAGTCGTAATATGCATGAAGAGAAACATAAGCAAGAACCTAGGACCGTTGAGTCCTATGCATAAAAGGATCAACAAATATAGACCAATCCCTACCACATTCAATAAGCTTATATTTCTGAGCCTTAGGCATATTGACCAACAAACCAAATGAAAAGTAGAAAAGAATTTATCATACACAAGGAAAACAAAATAAAACCCTAACCGAGAAATACTAAAAAGCAAAAAAAGAAGAAGTAGAAGAGACCTACCTAGAGCGAGAAGAGAGAAGTGGAAAAGAAAGAAGGTCCCTGGACCAATCAACAACCAATATAAGACAAAAAAAATAGTGGCAAAAAACATAAAGCAAAGTGCCAAAAAGCAAACCACGTATCAACATAAAATATTAAATTAATGAACAAAAACTGCTGAAAAAAACAAGTTTCTATGAAAGCTAACGTTAGGTCGAAGAAAGAAAATGTAAACAAAGTAAGGTAGAAAAAGTAGTAAAAGCAAAAAAGGAAACGTGGATAAGCCTCCCCATAATTCATGTTATATATAATGGTGTTATGTGCTCGATTCCAGTTAGACAACCAAACGTACACATTATGATGTCGTTAAATGTTTTTTTTCCATATTTGAATAATTTACAATATCATGTTATGGAATTATGGTATCCTAAGTGGCTCGATGTGAATATTTTGTGTTATATAGATTCAAACCTTTGTGGGATCCTTTTTGTCCAAAATAGCATTGATGGAATTTGTACCTTCATTGGCAACTCCGTAGTATATTGGTTTGTTTAACCAATATTCAGTAACTTTATCAACAATGAAAGAGGAATTTGTGGAGTAGGTTAGACGTGCACACAAGTGCTTTGGACGAAGCAAACCTTAATAGATCATACTATATCTCAAACAAGAATCCCAATATTTTGTGATAACCTGAATGCTATTTGTTTAAGTAAATATCTTATCTTGCAATCACACAAAACATAAATAGGCCTAGGGCACCAGTTTTTTCCTAATTAAGCTTTGAAAGATAATATTGTGCTTAAAAGGTTAGTGAAAGATAATTTAACCGATCTATATACTCTAAAAAAAATCGTTTAGAAATTTACAAATAGGATTTGGAAAGATTGAACAAAATCAATAAACATATGAGACTACTTTTGTGTGTGATTATTTAATTATTGGTTGCTATTTGTACTCTTCTTATGATATGTTCTTTATTTGTGGGTTGCTACACTTTAAGGGGGCCAGGATTAATTCCCTTCTTTTCTACTTAGACAAAAGGGCGAGAAACAATACTCAATTTATGTGTAATTTAGTATTATGTAATTATTTGTTCGATCCATATAATATTTGAATTTTCTTTCTATTATATCTTAAAGAAATGTATCATTGTTCGTGTATTTATCCAATCTCTCATTGTTTTAATGATGATCATATCAAAACCCAAATTGTATATTTTTTTTCTAACAATTTCATTATATTTTATAAAAAAAATATTTAGATTGAATTAATCAAAGAGTATAAAAAATATCCACCCATTCCCTTTTATTTAACCACCCAACGAGAAGATAGTTATAACATAAGTGTTGCATTTGTATAAAGTCTATGATAAAAATATATTGCTAAATCAGCAAAGTATTGCAAAAAAAGGAATTATATCAAAAATCTTTAAAATAATACTTTAGTAGATATTATTTAGAACTAAAATTCTACTTAAAAGACTCATCAACGCCTCCATAAGAAGGAAGTGGTTATGTTAATTTCTTGCCCAAATCCTAGAGAGAAAAACTAGTTAGTTGACTCCCTGTATCATTTTAGAATTTGGGCAGGTAATGACACATCCAATTTAAGTCTATGCAGGCTACATGCTTTCCCTGTCACATGAAACTCTTTAAATTGCCATATATCAACCTTTTCTGGGGTTTATTTGAGCGAATAATTATATATAATTAAGCAGATGATGAAACTTGTAAATTTAATTAAAAAAAATAGCAATAAAGTACATTCAGCACATATGTGATCAAACTAATGCATAATACTAGCATGTCCAAGAAAAACCAAACTCCAAACAAGTTTCAACAACACAATTAAGGAAGGCACCATTTTTTTCAAGAAATGAGAATGCCTTGTAGTTCTATATAAAAAGTAGCAAATACATGTATATCGGTTTTATCCCTCTAGGAGAGAAGAACCATAACCCAAGTATTTGCTATAAACACATATTTCATCTCAAGGGAACATAAAAAAGGTTCAAATGTCTAGAATAAAAAGATACTTAGGTTTTCAGGCTATTACTTAATCATCTTGCTCATCCTTTTCATAATCAATCCAATCTCCATAAATACGATTGATCTTCTTATTTGATAATCTCAACTTTGCAAACCCCCTTCCTTCGCCTTGTCTTAAAGGAACAGCTGTGGCAGAATTACTAGGCGGCAGTTCAGTCACTGGTAAGCGGAGTGCACTAGTGGCAGTGGAGCCATGAACCTCCGTAGGTGCAACTGGTGTATTTAATTCTGAAAAAGAAAGACATTAAGCGAAAAACACATAAGTAACAATGAATATACTTGAATACAAAGAAAGAATCTAAGATGTTAAACCACAAAACAAGAATCTAAGATAGTTAACAACAACATTTGAAAAATTAATGAAAAAGGAACAAGAATCTATGATAGTTAACCACATAATATTTCATTATTAGTAATAAAACCTCATATTATATCCATGGTTAAAAACCATTAAACTTATATGTATATAAATCAACTAAAAACAGATGGGAAAATGTATGTATACCTTTAATCCCATGAGCAAAGTGACATTTATCTCCTAATGGACACGTCTTGGTTGTTTCCCACTTGCTACAAATTCGACTTTTCAAAAACTTAGCATTAGGATCACTGCTAGAAGTAGTAACTTTGATAATATGGCTACCATTGGGTTGACCACATTCAACCATAGTCTGAATCTTGATTACCGAATCTCCACTTGTTCTTTCTGTAATTTGACCCTTAAATTTTGCAGGACTTTCATGGAGAAAAATACATTTTTCTCCATAAGAGCATTCACCCGTTTTAGCAAACTTTTGACATATTTTCATTTGGTGTATGATTCTTTGATCATCATCCAAATCTAGTCCTCTTTTATGCTTCACAAGCTCTGGCCAATTTGGTGGGGGTTCACGTAGATCGTTAGAGCCATGTGCAAAAGTACAACTGTCACCATTTCCACAGTTTCCTTCAAGAAACTTGTGACAGATCCGGGTCTTGTAGAATATGTTGTTGGTTCCTTGATTCACATGGTGCTGACTCATTGTCAATGATTTGGTCAAAACTGCAAAAACAAAACAAAGTGCTTTGATAATAAGATACTTTTTTAGACTAAAGCTGTGTTTGATGACGTACTAGTTGAAAAATTAGTTTTTGCTTTATAAATTAGGTGATGGTTGACAAAGTAATAACCTTTTGTAAAATGTAGTTTATACGATGATTGATGTAAAGTGATATATATATATATATATATATATATATATATATATATATATATGGAAAAGTGAATATACCTTTAAAGGGAAATAAGCTTAGGTACACAAACTCACTATAATACATAGTTTTATTTGATATATTCAATATATTGTTCTTAAACTCTAATCCCTAACTTGATTTACTTTCAACATTTTTAAAATTTCATTATTATCTTCCTCTTATATCACATTTTTTTGCCGAACACCTAGTAGGCTATATATATATATATATATATATATATATATATATATATATATATATATATATATATATATATATATATTATTGTTCAAAATGAAATTATGTAAGAGAAAGATAAACATGAAACTTATTAAAATATTGGAATTAAATCAAGTTAGAAGTTGAAGTATAAGAATTTGGACAATTACAATGTATATATATATAATACAAAAGGATTTCGTATGATAAGTTGAGGTAACTAGGATTATATAGCTTTAAGGGTATATTCAATTTTTTCATATATATATATATATATATATATATATATATATATATATATATATATATATCCTCCCTACTAAATGAAAACAATATTGTCATTTATCATCTTTATATACATTATGCCCCATGTCATTTTGTGGTATACTTAAATTAAATTATATATATGTATCATATTGTGGGTTTTTCCATTTTATTAAATTTCGTATAATACTCAATTGTAATAAATTTAATAATAACTGTATATCCAATTTATCAATGAAAATTTCCTTATTATTTCTAAATTTCTAAATTGAATTCAATAGTTTTAGTTGTTTATTTATTTAAATTATTAGTTTAAATTTAAAAAATAAACAAGTATTTTTATTTTAATAATTAAATAATTTTTTTTCTTATAAATTTAATTTTTTTTAAATTGTTAGATCTGCATGTTTGTTTATTTTTTTAGATAAACTCATGTATTACGTAGGTCTTTTATATATATATATATATATATATATATATATATATATATATATATATATATATATATATATATATATATATATATATCCTCCCTAATAAATAAAGAAGTTTTTGCCACTTATCAAACTCTCATTGATTTAGCCACATGTAATTTTGTGGTTATTTTCAAAATTAAATTTTTTCCACATGATATTTTATGGTTGTTTCATTTTTATTGAATGTATTAATTGCAATAAATATAATAATAAATGTATTTCAATTTCATTAATTTATTTTCCTTTTAATTTCAAATTTTCTAAATTAAAACCAATTAGTTTTTTTTGTTTATTTATCTTAATTATTTGTTTAGATTTAAAAGAGAAAAGACACTTTAATTTTAATAATTCAATAATTTTCTATTTTAGATATATATTCAACTTCTCAAATATATATATATATATATATATATATATATATATATATATATATATATATATATATATATATATATATATATATATATATATATATATATATATATATATATATATATATAAAAGGCTACATCCGAAAACTTGTAGATAAAACATATAAATATATTTTTGGAAAACTTGTGTGAAACAATAAGCTTATTAATAGGCTAATATCAAAACATTTTTAAAAAATTTAGCTTGTAAACGACTTTAGTGGTCGTACCAATTACTACAATGCAATAAACTCAAAGTGAGGTAATTTGTTCATCAAAACACAACCTAAGACTATTTCTTATTAGAATTTTAATTAAAAGCAGTATAATACGATGTTACGTGAACAATCAATCATGGTAACATTATGAAAAAAACATATACATTTTTTAAAATTCCAAAATTCCATTGGTTTTTTTTAAGGTTTATATATGAGGATTAAATCTGGAAATTAAAACCATAAAAAAATTTCCAAAAGAAATTAAAAGCCAAAATATATGAATGATGTTTCTCAAAGCAACAAAGATTTGTTAATTGAAAGTTTACAAAATTCAAGATTAAATATATCTTAAAAAGCTTCAAGATTGAAAGTATAGAAGTGTGGGCTTAAAACCAAAAGGCATTAAAATTTTGGTGACTAGTAAGGGGTGATAATGGTCATTTATAGAGTTATTAATAATTGTTTCAAAATTCAAGATTAAAATTTGTTGGGATGTATCACTAGATATAACAAATTTTCAGCTAAAAAATAAAAAACAAATTTACATATTTAGATCTAATATACGCATTAATTTTTTTAAAAAAAAATTAAAATCTAACCTGGCGAAATTGTTGAAGATCAAAGAACTTTCTTGGTAGCTCAAGACTAAAATAAAAAAAAAAAACTACCCCAGCCAAGATATAAATGAGAAAACCCTAGATGACTGAAAAGAGGTTTACGTAGTTTAGATTTGATATACACATTAATTACATATTTACATAATAGAAATACAATTAATGAAAATATCTGTAATTGATTACTTTCCATATATTTACATTAATGTTTTTTCAAGAAATGAGGTTTGAGGTGTGTGCTACTATGATTAGTTTTTATCTTTGATTACTATAAAATTAGCATCATCATCTTCATCTGGCTCAATCAATAGCCAACCCCAATTGTCAATTTCACAAACAATACCAAACTAATGCCTCTGAATCATCAATGGACCTATACACATCAATATATTTTACATAGTACCTTCTAAAAACATCCTTAAAATCACGAAAACTTAATACAAATGTAGGCATGCACCTATTGACATCTTTTATGCAACAGAGGACATATTTTTGTGGATAATGTATTAGGGAAAAGATTTAACAATAGTAAATCACATTAATCAGAAAAAGTATATACTCTTACCAAACCAAACATCTAAAAAGGTGTAAACTAATCTTTATCAGTAGAGAGGATTGTAGGTAAGAGAAATTAAAAGATAAAATTTTAAAGCTTTTATTCTCATGCAAAAACGACTGCCAACTTTACCAAAAACGACATAACATGCATTAAAAGGACTAGCTATCGTCCGCGTTATTCGAGGAAACAAATGACACATAGAAGGCGACATTCCTAAATCCAAAACAAAGACCATGAAAGTCTTTTTTTTACTACATATTTGGAGGACTTGATGATGATGTGTCATTAGCCTACCAGGATTTGTGTCGACGCTCGACACATAATGCTATACAAAGCATTAACCGAGCTTGAAACGTACATACCCTAGAGCTGAGTATGTTTACCACCATTAACCACAACATTAATTAAGCCTTAACCAACATGCATCTAAACACTATTGAGCTTGCTATAGTCGTACCATTGACATAAGTAAAGGTAATATTTGTTTAATGTTTCTTGTACAACTGTGTAATTTGAATCATACCCAGCACATCATACATCTATAGTGGTTGTTGTTAGTAAACCCATGATATTTGTTCACTTGTTCACTCAATGGTCAAATAGGTGACAATCAGTGACTCCATGCATTATAATATTACCATTTTCTTATACGTATACAAAGTTGAGAGTTAGAGTGTATTCATGCAGATAATTTTAAGTTATGGCTATGGATACTCTTTGTAAGTCATACTAGGTTCTTATATTCCAAAATCTATACTCAAAACTTGTCTAATCTTTTTCGTAGACTCAAGTATCATGAATGACTAAATCCAAGCGTAATCCTCTTACTTTTAGTTTTTCCACTTATTTCCATTTATATACATGATAAAACTAATAAGGAATTTAATAGTTAACTACATGCCCCCAAGGACATAGAAATGTTGGTTCTGAGGTGTCATTTCGCGGTTTTAGTGAGCAACAAACACAATTCGAGTTCATTAATGACAATATGGTGATCGGATCAATGTAAAATTTTAGGGTTTGGGAAATAACACACTTAAGTCGAGTCTAACAATAAAGTATAGGGTATTCGTAGTTATAAACTTACAGTCTGCCTCATCTATGATACATGTGATGGGTTTTGAGCATTCTAACACTTCCTAAGTGTACATGCAATCCTAATAACCTTGGATCTATGTTTGTCTAATTTGTCATGCAAAGTTAATTTCCAAGGTTATATTCCTATCTAGCATACATGGGGAACAATTTTAACATAAAGTATAGATAGAATAACTTACCTTGTTGTTGCTTGTGTTCCTTGAAACCTTGTGAGCCTAGAACCTCAAGTGGTGATGCCTCAAATGCTTCACACAACACCAAATGCTCTTGAAAAGAACTTATGAGAGAATACACACTCTTCAAAATCGGCCAAGCCCCCCTTATTACTTAGTGTGTCCGATTTGGGAGGAGATCATATTACTTATATAGTGTTGACACATCTAGGGTTAAACCCTAATGTGTCATGACTCTTCATTTCCATGACCCATGGGTTTGTAACTCCCATGGAGCATCCATGGAGCATCCTATGGGTGGAACCCAACTTGATGATCCATGGAGCCTTTTAGCCCACTATACAAGATATGGATGATTTACTTAATCAACCCATATATTTAATTAGTTATCTTTTGATCACTTAATTAATTCTTGATCAAACTAATCAAATAATATTATTAATATATTAGAACTTATAATATATTAATAATCTCCAAGCGTTATTTCTCTCATTTAGTTTATCCAATTGCATGGTGCCATGCAACCCAAATGGACCATGCCGGGTCGGGTCAAGTACATACCAGAAATAGTTATGGACTTAGACACCTTATCCAACAGTCTTCCACTTGGATAAGTCTAGTAACTATTACTGCAAGTATGACTTCAGGAACCGATCGGCAATCGTAGCTCTTTACAAGGTTTCTCGAAACTTGAGAAGATGATGGTACGCCATTTAAGATAAGTGATCATATAATCCTCTGTTCTAGATATCAGTCGG